TCTTCATGTGGCGACGTGTTAGGGAGCCGAAAAGGAAAAAATAGTGACGATAACCAAATGATAACAAGTTTTATGGATTAAAATATCTCAGGAACTAAAAACGGATCTGCATACTGTAAGCGAGGGATATGTTCAGTATTTTATCCTCTCTGTAATGGATTATTGTTATAAATTGTTTCTTAACTTGACGCCGTGTTAGGAAGGCGAAAAGAATAAAAAGTAGTGTCGAAAACCAGATGATGAGGTTAGTTGAACAAATGAACTAAAATATTTCAGATACATAAAATATTTCAGATTTATAAAAATGGGATCTGTAAACAGTAAGCGAGGGGAGCTATTAGAGGGGAGATCCCCTTCGTAATGAGCTATTATTTATAATTTATATTTCATATTCCTAATCCTCGCCTTGTTGATGTTTTTACTTTTGTCGCGTGGTCCATAGCACACCCCTTAGTTGTTTTTTTATTTCAATAATATAACATTATTAAAAACAATTATCTTTATTTTTTTTTTGCCTATAGGTAGTATTATAAATAATCACATCTAGTTTTGATTATTATTTATTAACGAGCCTTTCGGAGAGTCTCTGTCCTCTTCAGTATCTAAAATAATACAATAAGTATAACGTAGGTTTTATTACAAACAATTCATTTTTAATATCAGTAAAAATATTACGATAGGGTCTATATTATATTAATTATATTACTTTAGATGATTAAGAGGAAAACAAGATTCCCCGAAGGGTTCACTAATAAATGTGATTATTTATTATACTGACATCTGGGTTGAAAAATAATGAAAAGATAATTTTAGAAAAAACTGGCCAAAAGTAGAAAATGATTAAAAAAAAAAAAATTAAAATATTGTCTGTTGAGTGGCACGCCATTTTTTATTTATCACAGTAAAAGTTGGACAGACAAGAATGAAGAAAAAATAGGGAACTATCCAAGTTGCATAAAATATATAATAGTGAACTAAAATGATGAGAAAGATGAGTAAGTATTTATTTTAACTGCTGATATCCAGAAAAAGAAAATATTACATGTTACCTTGTCATTTTTTACCGTTGTAAAAATATTATGTGTTAAGTATAGCTACAAGTTAAGTGGTTTATAATCTTCCCATTTCCCAATATTTTGACTTGATTGCTTTCTTGAACTTTTAAACTTATAATTATAAGTTTCTCTTAAAGTTACATTAGAATAGTTCTTCAATCCTTTCAAGAATCCCAAAACGATAATGTTTTCCTGGTTGAGCTCGCTTCCCTGACGTTTGATTGATTCGTACGTGATGCTTATTATATTCTTTATTTTTTTTCTTCTTAACCAACTTTTTAAATTACCTCTAAAAAATTTCCGCTGTTTCTATATTCTTACATCGTCATCATCTTCTAATGGTAGATTATCAATCAGGTAAGATACTTGTTATTCGTTCGCATTAAATTCAATAGTTTAGCTCCTTTTCAGAGTTCGGTAATGTTCGAAGCTTCTTGAAATTCATTTACAACTATTATGTTTTCTCTTTTGGTTGTTAAGAGAGTATTGGTGATAGCTATTTGTCACGTTATAAACATTTGCAATATGTTCAAAGCTTTTTTCAGGATTCTAAAAAACATAAAACAGTTTAAAATTATATCTAATACGAGGCGCATGGCATTTTTTTTTTCTTTTATTAACTCAGGCTGAAATTTAAGTTCATCTTAATGATATTTTTAATAAAGGAAGAATTGCGTGAGCGAACTGAATCAGCGAAACTAAGTGAATCTTGGCCGAAATTGAAATATTCAAAAAAATACCGGTTGTCCTTGGATCTTTCGTATGTTGAACTTGAAATAAACAAGAACGAAAAAGAGTGCAAACAAATACAATAAAAAAAGTTGAACATTAAAAGTTTTGCTGGGAAAATCGTGATTCCTTTTCGTACTGGCTGATGAGAAGACTGGCTGTTTATAGAAACAAATTTATTTAATCCGAACTTAATTCATTAGCAGCGACACTAATTTAAGTGACATTTAACGAAATTACACTATCTTTTTTAAATGTTAGGCATTCCTATCACTTTTGATCGGCTGGCTAATTTTTTTATTTTAATAAGATATTATTGTAACAATAATGTTGTCAGGGATATTTTTTCTTAACTTTTTAGAATTTAGTAGCTGAATGACATGAGAATTATTTAAATTTTAAATATAAATTAAATTCATATAAATATAATTCATATAATTATAATATAATTAAATCATATAAATTAACAATTATTTTAATTGTATGAAATTACATGCGTTATAATTTAAAAAATAGAATAGATAATGTTTGTTGTTTAAGTATTCGGCTTAGAACAATAATTATTTCACTTTCTCTCTCTCTCTCTCTCTCTCTATATATATATATATATATATATATATATATTGGTAGATGAGAGGTGGAAAAATTTTGAGCTAAACTCTTCACCTCCTCTCTTAACCAATAAGTTTGAATAAAAAATTCAGTGAGAACATTTTTGCCTCCGATTTTCTTCAGAATTTTACACTCATTTACCCACAAAAAAAAAAATATATATATATATATATCTATATATGTATATATATATATATATATATATATATATATATATATATATATATATATATATATATATATTTAATAAGGGAAATTAATGCGATTGTAAAAACAAAAATCTAATTCGAGTAATACATATTTCAAGGTATTTGTGAATTTAAATAGTCTAGCTTAAAAACTAAAAGTCGTTATTTAAGGTAGATATACACCTGAGATATTACAGTAACCTTTTTTTTTCAAAATCGGCACCGGAAATGGAACTTCGTATCATCGTTTTTACAATTATTTCGAAAATGACTATTAAATCGTCTAACATAGAATATCTACCTCGTTGTTACAAAAATTCTTGCACATAATAATAGCTTTATTTCATATTTTTAACATTATTGTGTAGTGTTCTGCAGGCGAAAAGGAAAAAAATGGTGTTGAAAACCAAATGATAAGGTTAGTTGAACAAATGGATACAAATATTTCAGATACTAATAATCGGATCTGTACACTGTAAGCGATGGAAATGTTCAGCAGTTCATCTTCTTTGTAATGAGCTTATAATTTTTTTTTATTTTTATTATTTTAATGGAATTTACAACTGTATTACATAGAGAATACAATAAGTAAATGTGAAATTGGTAACATGGCATGTACAACATGAAGAGAAACTACTCATTGGTAGAACTCAAATTAAAGTTCTATATTAGAAGATCCCGAGGCCATCTTCTTTTCAGACGCCTCGGAGGGTTATCAGGGATCAAGGAGGAGCCAAGGTTTGAAATGAGAGGATTCGGATGGTTCTGCAGTTTGTTATGGAAGGACAGGTATCTGGATTGGGCCAAATCAGAAACATATGGAACATTAAGGTCTTTATGGATGATTTTATTTGTGAGAAAGTAAGGAGCGTTGAGGATTTTACGAAGGATTTTGGATTGTAAGGATTGGATACGAGAGGAATTCGATGGTTTAGTGGAGCCCCAAAGCTCAATTCCGTAAGTCCAAATAGGTCTTATTATTGTCATATATACGAGTCGTTTAGAATTGATTGAAAGCTTAGATCGTTTGTCTAGTAAGTGCTGCAGTAGTCGAAAACGTCGGGCGGTTTCTAGTCGTTTCAGTCTGGTATGGGGGTTCCAAGTGAGTCGTTTGTCAAGGTGGAGTCCTAAGTAGCGGATTTGCTCAACAGGAATAAGCGGAGTATTATTGAAGGACATTTATAATTTATATTTCATATTATTAATCTCGCCTTGTTGATGTTTTCACTTATATCTTGTGGTCTAAAGCACACCTTGTTTTTTTTTTGTTTTGTTTTTTAATTTTCCAATTGTATGTATGAGCAAACAGTGTTAACTAAACTCATTTAAAACTTGTTCTGTACAAGAAAATGGTAACATAACTAAAAACCTGTCAGTTTTGGAAGTTTCATCTGCTACCAACTCAACTGGCATAGAATACTTCCCACCATTTTTTTTTTTTTTCTGAGATCTTTTCTTTTTATAGTCGGCTATTATAGTTTTGTTTGTAAGGAAATCTCGACGTTCTGTGTACTCATAATAGCTCTTATACATCTTTTCTCCGCTATGAAAATACTTTTTTTTTTTTCTATTTCTTATATTGCCTTTTCCTATCCAATACTGGTAATTGGATACTTCTACTGGTAATTGGATTTGATGCTGGCACCACTCCTTTGATTTTGAAGCAAAGAACTCTTCACATCCAATTGTTACATCATCATAGTTATTAAAGTTCACACCTTTTAAAATATGAGCCATTGGTCAAAACAAAGCATTATCTGATAGTGGAATATATGGGCTATAGGCAGGAAGAAGCAAAACGTGGTTTCTGATAACCAAAGTGGGGTACTTGGCACTCAAAATTGTATAAACTCTGTCTCAAACTGTATAAACTCTGCCAAGCAGTTCGCATTAAAAGTTTGCCCAACCATCAGGAACAAACTCAAAATGCAAAACTCATATTCGCCCAACGGCTCATATCCCCATTGTTGAAACGAGTGTACTGAAGTACGGCAGTATTTCTATTGATGGCTCACTCTGTTTCTTTTTTCACAAATTTCTTTGACGGTTGCCTTTGTGATAAGCTCTATTTTTTTCCTGTAATGTATTAAAAAAACGCATATCACGATTTTTTCTACTGGCATTGCAAGTGCATTTTAAAAATATAGTAAAGCTCCATAAAGCCGACTCAAGTCACAAGGAATTAAAGGATCAGTCAAAGTAAATATTGACATAGACAGTAGGAACGAAAACATTCTTATAGGATTGATTATGAGAGTTGGAATTAAGGGTTTTGTTCATGCACAAGGACTGTTGTTGCAACCTAGTATTAGAGTGTTATCAATAGTTAGGATCTTCATTAGCCACTGTCATATCTTAATCAGGTAACTAATATGCAATATAAGCAGTGAATCTTGAAAAAACTTATCTTGTTTAGATACTGAGCGATGACAGAAGATCTGGGTACCAAAGAAGGGAGACGGGACCCGATGATGGAATGCATCGGTGAATTCGGTCGATGGCAGCTCCTGATGACCTTCTTGCTATCATTGGTAAACTTGCCGTGCACCTTCCACTTATACGCACCTACTTTCCTGGCGGCAGAACCTGAAGCAAGTTGTTCCAAGCCACGAGGTAGTCTTCTTAGTGAGGAGCAATGGCTGAACCTTAGCCAAGTATATTCTTCCGTAAGTATGTTAGTGAAGTCTGTTTTGCAATTATACAATTAATTAGCCATTTTATTATTGAGAATGCTGTAATCTTCAATTAAATCAAATGACAAAGAATCATTTAGCGACGAATAATCTATAGATAGATAGATAGAAAAATAATTTTATTCTGGGACACAGTCCCTTGAGAATAACAAAATAGAACAAAATTAAAAGATCACATCGGGCCAAAATAATATCAATCGAAAAAAAGAAATAATGTAAAAAAAATATAAGGTAAACATTCTATATACAAAAAAACGAAACTATATACAAAACAATTAATTCTATGACAAGGCACTTAAAGCTATTTGCACTGATAGACTCGTATACACTTTTGAGAAAACTATAACTGAATTAATTATTTTTTGGACTGTTGCTTTGGTCATCGTACATGATTACAAATTTTAGGAACACAGGTTTTGATTCCTACCACTCTGAGAAATTACTCCAAAAGTTTAATAAAATAAAATAAATCAATTTTCATACTTCATATTTCGGCGAATAGACTGTAGGCTTATAAACTACTGATTTTTATATAGTATCTTACGCGCCTGTAAGATTAAAAATTAATTTTTAAAACTCTTGTTGTTACATATATGTGGTATTCTTACAAATTAAAAAAACATTGAGAGGTCCACTAAGTCCCGCGGACCATGGCTTGATATAAAACAAAACTTTCTTGTTCTATAAATGACAGTTCAGTTGTGAAAGGAGCTTTTTATGAAAAAAAACAAAAAACAAACATGCAATAAATGTTGTAAATTAAAAAAAAACAAGAGCTGACCAGACGATACAAACAACTGTCACATCTTTTGGACTACAGATCTCACTCAACTTACTAAACAAGCGACTAATCTACACCACCATACTAAGACCTATTTGGACATACGGAGCAGAACTTTGGGGTTCCGCAAAACACACACATAAACAAAATTCAAACCACACAATCCAAAATACTTCGTAAAATCGTCAATGCTCCTTGGTTTATTTCAAATCACACCATACACACAGACATGAACATACCAAAAGTAAAATCCTACATACACAACAAGTACACAACATTTCATTCTTCTACTCTCAATCATCCAAATCCACTCGTTCTATCTCTATCTTCCTCCCTGTTACCTGGTGAGCCTCAACGACGACTAAAAAGGCAGTGGCCTAGAGATCTTCTGCTGACAAGTTAAGCAAGTATCAAGAATACAAGAAGATAGAATAAACGCCAACACATTTGCTTGATGCGTTACAACGCAGTGGCAAATTTAATGGAAAAAAATATTGTAGTAACCTCTTGTGTATGTAATTTACTGAATTTCTTATTTTTTAAATCCTTTTTAAAATTTTACAATGTAATCAAAGAAACTTTTGCGGCCCGGATTGAAACTGCTTGCTGTAGTTTGGAGACCTCCCTACTCTAGCTGATACTCTCCTATTTTGCCTCATTTTTTCAATTATGAAGAAGATAAGCAATAGTTGTTTTCTTTCCTTTTACTGACTCTTAACCATTGTCTGTTTTCAGGATGGCATGAGGGACATCTGCAGGATAAATAACTTTGACTACACCCTACCGTTCAGTGAACTCAGTCAGATGCAGGCCAATGATACGATCCCTTGTGAGTCGTGGGACTTTGAATATTCTCAATTCGGCACTACCATCATAACTGAGGTTATTATTAAGTAGCATTGATTTGTTTTTTTTCGAAGTACAGTGAATCCAATCCAAGAAGTATCCATAATAATTCATTCATCCATAAATTATAAATTAAATTAAATAGGCTCTAATAATAAGCTACACATTTTAATTACTGGACTTAATGTATTTTTGGCAATTTAAAAATGATCAGATATTTATTGCAAGTTAAGAAAATCTAGTTGTTCTCTGGCTTACACCAGTTGCAAAAATTTGGATTTTTTTGTTATTAAAATATTTAAATATCATTTCAGAGCTGTATTGTTAATATTTATCTATGAAATTTCAAAGTGGAACCTGGTTTGCGACAGATCCTACTTGCGCCAATTAGCTGAGCTGTTGTTCCTGGCTGGAGTTGCTGTTGGTGGCTTCGTCAGTGGTCTCATTTCGGACAGGTGACTCTTCCCAGTTATTTTTTTGTATCATTACGTGCTTTGATAACAACTAAAATTTTATTTATTTAATGGCAATAAAAAACAGAATGATCTAAGTGAATGCCTTATTCGCTAAATTCTTTTACATATTAATCAGTTTTAAATTAAACTCTTGTGACATATTTACATTATGTTTTAGATTTGGCAGGAAGCAAACATTGATGGTCTCATTGTTGGCTCAGATTTTGATAGGGATGTCCATTGCTTATGCCCCCTGGTTGTCTCTCTACCTCGCATTGCGAACTCTTCTAGGATTCTTCTGTGTCAGTGTCGTTTTCTCTGGATTTGTTTTATGTAAGTAGATTTATTTTAAATATAAAATTATTTCTTTACTTTTGAACCCATTTAATATTGAAGAACATCTTCAACGTGCTGCTGACATGATTCCTATCTGGAGTATCAATTTCTATTACTTGTGGAAAAAACAATAATGTACCTCTGCAGCCCATGAGGAGCTTCCAATTCAGTACTTTGTCAGGAAGGACAGTTCTTTGGTGAATGGTTGTGGAAGGAGGTTATTTGATGGAGAACACTTATGTTTTATTTTTTTTTTAAATAGTTTTCTAAACGTTTACAGGTATGGAGCTGGTTGGTGGGAAATGGCTTACCATTTCAGGAGTTTCTTATGGATTACCAGTTCCTGTGGCCTACATAGTTATTTCAGGGCTTGCTTACGTAATTAGGGATTGGAGGCAACTACAATTGGCTATCACCTTGCCTTCCTTGGCATTCCTACCTCTATGGTGGTATGATCTTTTCCTTTTTTTTTCGGTATTTTTTTCTCCTTATTCCTATGAGGTTTATCCCATCATTATCATTGTTTTTATTTTATTTAATTATTACCTTAATATAATAACGTTCCAGTTTGCTTAAAAAATTATAAATATATTACCTTATATTATGCAGTCATTAATTAGCTGACAATTTGTACATTCTTAGCCAATCATTTACATTCATATAATTTTAATATCATATTATGTATTGTAATATATTTAATTTATAATTTTAATTGTATATTACACTATAATTAATTATATATTATAATATATTTAATTGTATATTATAATATATTTAGTGGTTTATTCCACAATAACCTCAATGAATGACCAATGGGCATAAATAGACCATCATAGTTCAAACAGAGCTTTTTTTCCTTTTCAATGGTATTGAAATCCTGAAAAATCTCAAGAAATCTTAAATTAAAGGTGTACAATGATAAAGCCAGTTCTAATATATGGCTGTGAGACCTGGAAACTTACCAGCACCCTAGAAAAAAATGTTGAAAGATTTCAGAGAAGAATCCTCTGTGTGATAACCGGAGCGGTCTGGTGTCAGAGTACTAACACATGGAGAAGAAAGACCAAAAATTAACTGTTTACAGAAACTGGTCAATCAATATCCCATGATATGAAGGTATGGAGGTTAAGATGGGCATTTATGTAACTCGTAGCAATCCATATGGATGCCTCTACGTAACAATGAATGCTTCAATAGAAGGCAAAAGACCACGTGGAAGGCCACAAAGCAGATGGATAGATAGAATCAACGAAGATGTTATAGAGCTGCATGTATATAATGGAAAGAAATAGCCCAAGACAGGCAGAGATGGAGTAGGCTTGTTAAGGCAGCAAAATATCTACATGGTCTGTAATTCCAACAGAAAAAAGAAAAAAAATATATAATTATAGTAACAAATTTCAGTATTTAAAAAACATATTTTTTTATAAATGTTGGATTTCAACATTATTTGATTTCTCAGCTATTAATATTTTAAAATAATGTTGCTCAATGTTTACATATTAAGGTATAAGTTTACTTATAAACATAATATCTATATTAGGCTATAATTTTCTAATAGGGTGTTTCCGGAATCTCCAAGGTGGTTATTGGCTATGCACGAAAATGAACAAGCGATTGCCATCTTAAAGAAAGTAGCTAATTTTAATGGAAAAAAGTTACCAGATAATTTTGATAAAATAATCAATGAGGTAATGTATATTTTAAAAGTTCTTTGATATTTAAAAATGAAACAGTTAATTAGGGAGGAATTCAGAAAGCTTATAGATTTCTTACCTATTGCTTCAGTTTAATTTGATTGAATATTATTTAACCTGATATTTTTGAGTATTTTAAAATATAGTGTAATAAGATGAAAAGAACTTATACACATTGCATTATGTTCTTCTCTTTTTAACTGAACTTGTTTGTTTAGGAACTAATTTTTATAATCCTTCAGAATTTCAATACCCATTCTGGAGAATGTACCTTTTTAATTTAACAATTATTTTTATTTTGTGAAAAATTATTTCTGAAAAATATATATATTAATATTGGTCTTAGAAAAGAAGAGTGAATTTAAATGATTTATCCTCATAATAAATTGATGACAGTTCATTTTCCAATATCTGCAATCATCTGATTTATTTATCAATAAGTGAGGTGATTTGAAGCTTAAAAAGGCTCGAACAAGAGCCATTATGTAAATATTGTTAATTTCAAGGTTTGAAGCCATATTCTGGAAACTCCATATACAAAATCCTTGTTAATTGTGGGTAATATTAAATTTGTTGATTTTCTATGTCCAATTATTATTTCTCCAATAGAATAACAATTGATCCCATTGTGATATCTATAATTAAGTTTTCGGTATTTTTACTGGACAAATGTTGATACTATTGAGAATAGACACAGCATTTTAGGTTTTGAAAATCATGTTCTCATTATTGTATCATCCTATGGTGAAACTCTTATGTAGTTTTATTTTATTCTTATTTAATTTTCCTTATGTAGTTAAATACATCATTATACACTTTCTATATTTAGCAATCGATCAATACTTCCAAACCTGGCCAATGCTATTCCAATATAGACCACTAAAATTTCATAAATCATGCCAGCAAAATAACTATGTTTTGTAAGTCATAGATTAGAAATCAGTGAAATAACATCTAGTGAATTGGGAATGTTTGTAGAACTGAAAAGAAACTTACCTTTTATTTCTCACCATTAACGGATTCAGGATTTAATTTTTGGAGGGGCATCAGCCTGAAAGATTTTTTATATAAATATATATTACGATAGTTACTATGGAAGAAGAAGATAGAAACCAAGTATGAAATGGTGTTTAAGTAATTCTTGAAGTCCTTTTAAATGTGATTAGATAAACAATAATACTTTTAGAGATAATTTTTTTCTTAAACCATTTTGAGGAGGCTTCAGCCCAAAAGTCCCTCCTCTCTCCCCTTAGATCCGCCTGTGGTTCTTACACTCAAACTTTTCTTGATAACAATTGGCAGTAATCAGATTTATGTCAGTCATATAATAAAAATATTAATTTGAATGCTACTGTAAAATGTTTATATAATTATTATAATTATGTAATGTATTCTTCATAATTGATCTTATAAAAAGCGATATCTAAATTTTTTATGGTATTTAAGGACATAGCTGCAACTGGTGAGGAGCCTCCAAAAGTGAGCATCATGGATTTGTTTCGAACAAGCTATATGAGACGATTAACGTCCCTCTTGTACGTGGCCTGTTTCTGCGCTGTTATAATTTATTTTGGACTTGTCCTAAATTTGGCCAATCTTGGAGGTGATATCTATGTGAACTCTGTCATATCTGGTAATTTCAATTCGTTGTTATGCATGCAGATTTGATTTTATTATTTGAAAAGCTTTGATATCTATCACATTTCATCATTATTATTAATTGATAAGTATTATATAAAGTTTCAAAGGTTGATTCTGAAAAATTGTGATGATACCATATTACATTATTTGTTGTATAATATAATATAATGCTTCATTTGTTTATACAGGTTTAGTAGAGTTTCCTGCAGCTTTAATCTGTATCATCATCCTCTTAAAAATGGGAAGAAGATGGCCAACGTTTTTAACTGCATTTATTGCTGGATTTGCTTGCGTTGCTACTATTATCACCCAAAAAGGTAACAAATTTATATTTCTAATTTATTTTTTCACTTTTTATGGACCATTTTAACTTTAAATGAATACTTTTTCATGTAGTTATCATTTAGTACATTGACAATCAATATTTTAAAATTATTTTAATATATCATATATTCTACAAGTAACTCCACATTAAGTTTGTTGAGAATCCTCTAAGGCAAAGAAATCAAACATAATATTATTATATTTTGATTTTATTTACTTCATTGGTCTTCAATGTCCCATTTAAAGCCATTATTGCAACTAAAAAGAATGAAGAAGGAAACAGAAACTCTGAATTTGGCTAGAACCAGGTAGCAATCTCTTGGTAGTTGTAATCACAGGCGGATCTACAGGGGGGCTTTTGGCTGAAGCCTCCCCCCCCCCAAAATGGAAAAATATAACCATGTTTTATAGAAAAAAATATTAAAAACTATCTCTTAAAGTATTATTGTTCGTGCAATTATATTTAATAAAACTTCAAGAACCACTTAAACACTATTTCATATAGGTAGTTAATTTATTTCCCTTTTTTTTTAAAATTATATATATAAAAGAAAAAGCTTCCGGGCTGAAGCCCCCCCCAAAATTAAATCCTAGATCCGCTAGTGGTTGTAATCTGTTGCTACCTGTAGCTACTTAGCCAAAATGTCCCTAGGAAATTCATTGAAAAGTGATATTTATCTATCTCAATTTATCTCTTATAAACACAATGAATTCTTTATTATTTTATAATGTTATATTGATGTTAACGAGTTTCTTTTGAACAATCTATACAATATATTTATTTGCAGGAAGCTGGTTGTATATGACCTTGGTAATGATAGGCAGGCTCAGTATCAGTGCTACCAACATGATTTTGAAAGTATTTAGTGCTGAGTTGTTTCCAACTGCAATGAGGAATCTTGGTGTTGGTTCTACAACCATACCTTCCGGCATCTCCCTGCTGCTGGTTCCATATTTGTGGGTACTGGTAAGTAGAAATATGATATAATAGTTACTGTGTGATTATAGTATTAGGTTACATTAAATTTCGATTTTTCTTTTGAATTTTCTAATAATATCTCAGAACATTTGAATTGTCAAAAAAGTAAGATTGAGACTAATCTTACTAAATTTCAGCAAAATAATGTTTACTATTCATTGAGAACCTTATGAATATCTTAGTAATTCTGTTAAATTTATTTAAATATCTAAAAACATTATGGTCTTGTGACTTTTTAGAATATTCATTCATTATAATATTACTTCCTCAACAAGTTATTCTTACCCACTTTTGGATCCAGATGTGTTGACTTTTCTTTCATGGTGAACGCATGAAAACATTTGACCTCACTCTGACTACAGTAAGTTTGTGATCATTTGGAAAATCCATTAGAGTATATACTTATTAATATCACCAGTGGAAAAAAACCTTGCAATTTTTAAAAATTATAAAATTCTACAACAGAGTATGAATAGGAGGAAGTGTTGCCAATGACCCTGCAGGGTAGAGGCAACAATAAAAACAAATAAATAAATAATATCACCAGTGACAATACTAAATAAATAAATTTACTTTTTTAATCTTGTATTTTGTGAAAACATTGTTATGAAGTTTATTAGAAAAAAATAACTCCTTACTCTTCTGACAAGTAATGTTTATTTTTTTTTAATTTCTTAGGCTGGAGTTTATGAAAACATGCCTCTTGTTGTTCTTGGTTTTCTTGGTATAATTGGAGGAGGAGCAGTATTATTCCTTCCAGAACCTTCTGGTTTAGCTGATGATATGATTCAAAGATAATCTTTTAAGAGATCTTATAAAAGAAATGAATTTTCAATATATGCCTGGACTTAATTAAGTAATTAATTAAATTTAAGAAGCATTCTATAAACATCGAGAAAATCAGCTGCCTTAATGGCATAAAAATGACACTGCTCTTGAAAAATAGAAAGTTAGCAATTTTAAAATTAATTGTATCAAGTACATGTACTAATTAATGAATTAATCAATAGACAAACTTGAGAATTTACTTAATGATATACATTGTGATATTAGCCCTAATAATTTTGATATGAGTAAAATTTTATTTAGTTTAAGCTATTTTAACTTTCCAAAAAATTAATTTATTTTGTTGAAAAATCATCATTTAATCATAGCTCACCACAAGAACATGATAGTTAGTAAATAAGAACAGCTGATGGGAAGAGAAGAAAGAAGATAAAGAAATTCTTTCTCCTCTACACATTCAATTTACTTGATGAACAACTGAACTTTAAATGAATAATAGGACAACTCAAAAATCATATTCCTCGTAATTTCTCAATTTAAATGGTTTTAAATACGAATAGCTGTTTTCTATTACTTAAAATGTTTTTATACTGCAAATAAAATCCAAAAACATAAGATAAATTTACCAGCAATAAGGCTATATGTTTATTTTTATTTCACCATAAATGTGAAAATTTATTGGAAAGAATTTGAATGACAACAAGAATTGATTAATATATCAAAATTCATAAATTTCTTTTTGAAAAATTTACTTAAGGTAAATTAGAGGTTGGTTTATTTTATATACTGCCTATTGAAGATACCACTTTTACTAATATCAGAGTAACATTTCTCTAGATTAGGAGCAATAGGATCCTGTGATTGAGGTGATCACCAAGATCACCAAATTGAGGTGAGATCAGATTTGATCTTATTTAGTGTGTAATGAGAGAGAATAAACTTGCCAAATATTCTTTCATACTAATAATTCATCTCATGAATAGTTAGGGATGGGGTGGCCGAATGGGCTAACGAGTGTGCACAGCATCGCCATTGTCCAGCAACCTGACAATTCATAACTGGCTAAAAATAGTCACGAGTCTGGTGCCAGGGTATTCTTTTAAATCCCTGTTATGTTGCACTCTAACTGTAATAATATTTTTCAATAAACGATTTTTTAAAGATTTAAAATTAGCCCTCTTGCCTTAATCCATGATTCTATCCTTTTCCACAGATGGTACAACTCTGAATATTTTAACAATAATGAGAGGGAGAAAAACAATAAGAAAAAAAATAAACTCGTAAAAGGTATGAAGTTTATAATACGTAAACTTTTTTTTTTGCTCTTGATAAATTTAATATAATTTTTTTTTCCATTTTACTTTAAAAAAGTATTATTTCTTAATGTGTAAAATACATCTCAAATTAATGTTAAAATCACTATGTCTTGAAGAAGATTTTTAATTTGAGTTCATTCATTATTATAGTTTGTTTTCTACCCTTTTACTACCATTTTTTACAATATCCTTAGCTTCCAAGAAATCTTTTACAAAAGGATAAGAAAATTTGCCCTATCTCAAGATAACCATCTTCGAAAAAATATCATAGTGCTAGCTCTCATAGTGCATGTTTCATTCTGGTACACCGAGTTGAAGTGGCTTTATCCTACTTTCCCGATGACAACTCCTCCTTGGTGTTTTACTTTTCCAAGTCCTCAGAACCATAAACCCTTCCTAGATCCTGGAACTCCTTACTCTATGTTTCTCTGTCCACTCTCTTAATACCATGTCTCAACCTATAGATTTATATATTCCTTTCCATAAAATTACTTCCTTCAGCAAATCCTTTGCCATCCGTGCTATCTCCTGTTGAACTCTCTTCCTACTTCCTAATCCTCGACCACAAATTCCTTCAAACAACTCCTGTTCCACCACCTACTACTCATTCAAACTTCCACAAATATGTAAAATTACTTACGTCTATATACTGTTTAATCCAATCAACTGCACATTTGTAATAACAATCAACAGTTATTTAGTTTGTATTTTGTAGTCTTCTAAGCTAGAGTAATACCCATAAATTTGTAACACTGTTATTATTTTTAGGGGACTGTAGTCCCAGAATAAAATTATTTTTTCATATCATTTCATTTATTTGGTAGTGAACTGATTTATACTATTCAGATCTTGTTTAAGATCACATCACATTTATAAATCTACTTCACCCAGCCATCTGAGGGATTGATGGTCTTCTTCTAATGTATCTTCCACTAGGTTGGTCATCGAGCAGTTGTTTGAGGATTTCTTCCAAATATCTTGAGGATTGATGATCCAAATATCTGTTTTTCTTCCTCCAATTTGAGATCAAATCTGGTCTTTTATATGAGTTTAACACCTCTGCCATAAAACAAGATAGGTAAGGCTTTTTAACCAATGTTGACCAACATAAATAAATTGTAAGCTTCCTAAGATGCAAAATCATTTAAGAGGATGCTCTCTTTCCTAAAATATATAGTTATAGGATGAATATTATTTGATGCAGATCCTGATAGCAACAAATTTCAAAAGGAGTTATAAAAATACAAAACCACATTGTAAAAAATATACATATCATACACATATCATAATAATTAAAAAAGAACTCTTTAAGTGATTTTTGAGTATTTTTACTTCCACTTTAGAACTATTTAATCTTTAGATGTTAAATGATGTCCAGTCTTAATAAGAAGCAAATGAAGTCCAAACACTTTCCACTCGTTCATAAGCATATAGATTATAAATACAAACATAAAAATGTTTATAAACATTTTTATTGTCCTATAAGTAGCTAAATGTGTATCAAATATGAAGTCAAATTTATTCTACATAATATTGAATGTTTTCATCTTTGTTATATTAAAATACAATTAGAATTATTTGTTAGGACTAAATACCTCATTAAAGAAAGATATAATTTAAATGTTTGTCCTAATTTTACATTGTATGTTTCACATTTTTATCCTAACAGGATATGTTTTGTTATATCACTCATCCTTTAGAACAACAACAACTCAATTGTAAAATTTTGGAAAACAGTTTATCTTGTTAAATTGCCAGAAAGATATATTTTAACTAAATAGCTTAATATAAGCAAAAATTTAATGGATAGAAGATTTTTTTTAACACTTGTACAATCAATTTTAAAATTATATCATTTATATAGTTATAATTTTAATTATCTTTTCTCTCCAATAAAATTGCATGTTTTGCGTTTATGTCATTATTTCACATGATGAGTGTTATAATGAAAGAAGTAGCTATTTTGGATTTTGAAAAAAGTATATGTAAATAGGAAAGAATCTTTTTTTTCTCTTCCTCACCTTTTAGCCTATACGCTTTTTTTTCGGAGCCAGGGGAGAGAGCAGATAATTAATGACAAAATTACAAGCCACTCTCCCCAGCACGCGAACTTTACGAATTATAACGAATTATTTTATCATGTAAACTTCGGTTTATTAAGTTTTAGGACAACGAGTGTTTCGCACCCGCCAAGGCCAATATAATTATTTCCTCATATAATAATACAGAGACAGTTATTAAATTACAGTATATTTTGAGAAATTTTAAACGAAAATAACGGCTTTACTCAGGTAAAGAAAATTAGATGCTTTTAAAAATTCGAAAAAAATAACTAGAATGCTACTTTTAGACGTAATAATATTTCTGACCTATATATTCAAAATATGTTACTCATTTGTAAATCAAATATTTATATCTATAAGAAGCTACAGTCACGGTCACAAAGATAAAAATAAGAATAATAAAGCCTCATTAGTATTAAAATATTTATTTGAGACATCTTTCATTGAATATTCTAGTTTTCTTTAAAGTTGAGCTCATCTGCTTTCGTGTACCGTTTACTTTTTTCAAATTTCTTCTCTGTAGGAGTTCATTCTGTTAGATTTTTTTTCCTGTTTTATTGAGAATTATTTTTTATTGTTGATTAGTTTTTTTTTTAATGAAAATAATATTTGCATACATATATTATTTGAAATTCATTCAGTATAAACAAGTATGATTTTCATATCGATTTATAGTTTTTTATCAAAGAGTGAAACTTATAGATCATAAATTTATAATTTGTTCGATTATCACATGGAGGATTTTTTAACATTTTCGATCACTTAAAAAAAAAGTTCAAATATTTCCATGAAACCGTACAAAAGAACGTTCTAGAGAAGGGTGCTGTGGAAGATCGAATCTCAAAAACGGAGAGAGCTTATGGACTGACAAACATCTACAATAAAAAGTGCATTTCCTGGAACACCGTAGTAGAAACAGAATGCGTGTATGCTAGCGAATGTCTATGGATGAACTACAATTTGGAAATACTCCAAGGTTAAAACCGGCTAGGAACAACAACGAAAATGTCGATAAAACCTCGGAGACTATGAGAAATATGACGTTATCATTTCTCGGGCACTTGCACAGAATAGACTGAATCAGATCAATGAAAAGGATATTCGACTACACGTGGAACAAGACAACGACGTTATGGGTTGAGTAAGTTCGTAATCGAAAGCTCCAACATCCAGAAAGTTGAGATAGGGTTACTTTTCAGACTGTGATTTAATGTTTGGAAGGGTTTCAAGTCGAGGGAACTGCAAGGATTGTAACAGTCTGTACGGGTGAACGAAGGCAGCAGCATAAGTTCCTTATTAAGGAATATTGGAGGAAGAGGAAACTTCATACAAAGAAGATTTGAAAATGTAGCGTGATCCTAAGTTTTCAATTAGCAAAAGAAAAAAAGAAAAGAAAAAAATCTTTATTAAGTCTTATTATAATTAATCATCCTACAATTTATCGTCCTAAAGCCCTTACTCTATCCTACCTATTAAAATTACTAAGGCCAGTGAGCAGCAACGCTACTTTGTTACCTGGAATACAAAAAACAGTCAAAGGTATGAAATGAAATAAATTAGTAAAATCCATAATTGGAAGTAAAGTATTCTAAATTTTAGTTCCTGACCTAATCATATAAGGATGAACGCAGAAGAAGAATTAGTAAAATCATTATTTTGTTTCTCTGTGTCTTGCTGGATTCTTTGGAGTTTTAATTAGTTAAAAAAATAATTACGCCCCATTTAATCCGCCAATGGACGCTCATGAATGAGGTTTTCCTATTAATGAGAAGCTGATAAGTAGGCCATCATCAAATTTTCCACGTTATTTTTTTATAACTCCTTGTTAATTAATCTTGTATCTTGACATAATTTCGGACAATTCATACGCATTCTTCGAGTTCCAAACTCTCAAAACAAACAGCCAATACAAAGAGGTAATCTTTATGGTAGGTAATAATGGCAGTCAATAAAAGAACCAATGATAAGTGAGATCTGGCTGTCAAGCATTCAGAGGTCAACGGAAGATGGGGAAAGTTATGAAAAGTAAGTCCTGTATACTGTATTATTTGAGTTTAAATATTTCTAAGCAACAAAGGCGAGGCGTTTTATTTATGATTTAAGTTATAATTTTTAGATAAATAACAATCTTTACAGTTATGAAAATGTATCCTAAATTTGTCTTGATCCTTTAGTGTACTGTTAAGATTTAATGACAAGATATATAGAACGGCCACACTAGCGGATCCAGGTTTTAATTTTGGGAGGGTCTTCAGCCCGAAAGCTTTTTTTTTTCATATATATAATGATAATTACTTTGAAAAAAAAAAAAGAAAGAAACTAACTATCTATATGGAATAGTGTTTAAGTGATTCTTGAAGTCCTATTATATGTAATTAAACGAGCAATAATACTTTTAGAGATAATTTTTTAATATTTTTTTTACTATAAAACAATGGTTACATTTTACCATTTTGGGAAGAGGGCTTCAGCCGGAAAGCTCAAAGTATTGAATTTATGTAAAATAATCTTAATTTTATTATATATCCAAATAGACTTTCCATTTCCATGTTTGTCATATTCTGAGTCAGATATATCGTTAATAATTCTGTCTGATTCTGTCTCCTATAAACACGCTTGGAAATTATAAAATTAAAGGTCAATTTTAGTTTTCTTTGGGAAAAAGGAAGATACATATATATTTTTTCCCAATTAGTTTAATGTTTCTATCATCAGTGATTTTTCATGAAAATAGTGGTTGGATTTCTGTGAAAATTGTTTGATTTGATTCTAGGTGTCAAAAATAGTATTTAACGACAATAACACTCTTGAAAGATTCGATGAAAGATGTTCGGACACTTTGATTTAATATTTTTAGATTATAATTACAAATTGTAAGTATAAAGAACATGATTAAGAGTAAATACATCTCAATATTATCTCAACCTCGCTTTTACTATAAAACAGTCATTGGTTTAGCTATAATAAGATGTCCAAAGAAATATTAAGCATATAGCCCTTCTACCCCGACGAAGTAATGCTTGTCAGGAGTTCCGTAGGGTGGTAAAGAAGAATTGAGTGGTGGTTTTTATGATTAGGAACCTCACACTGTTGTATGAGTTTTTGTTATTTGAACTTTGGCTTATGAAAGGTTTTTCTCAACCCAGTAATAAAAACACACACACAAACACACCATTTTATGGGACTTCGTAATTCGGACTCAGGGGACCTCAAAACGTATATTTCTGTTGATACTCAGTTTCGAAAATTTTCACGATCGCAATACTTACCCTTCATATATATTACATATATAGGTAAGTGCATGTAATAATTGTGAGCTAAGCCATAGGTAAACATGTTTATATATAATACACAAAATTTAAGGTTACCTGAAAACCTCGGAATTAATCTTCAAGTTAATTTTGAAAGATTTAAGATAAAACATCATATATTCTGGAGCAAAATATAATGAATGTTTTTCAATGACCATTTGCATGATATTTTCGTATGACGAATGGCAAAGTGTAGTTTAAAAAAAATGATTTAAAATTATTTTAATTTAGGACGGATACCTCGGAATCTAAAGTAAGGAGGGGATGAATTTAAGCTATCACGGTAATTTTTTTAATGTTTTAAATTAAATAATTTTGAGTGCAGATATAAAAATAAATTGTGAGCGAAGCCAGTGGTAACAATATTTATATATAGTACATAAAAGTTAAGGTTTCCTAAAAAATCTCAGAATTTATACTTCAAATTATTTTTTTTTTTATTTTGAATATTTCAGATAAATTTGATGAATGAGCAAATATAATGAATGCTTTTCAGTGATCTTTCTTATGATATTTTCGTATGACGAATGGTAAAAATTAATTGTGCTAAAAAGTTTTTAAAAAAATTATTTTGAATTCGAATATTTGGAATTTATTGTAACTAGCAGAAAAATTAAAACTATCAAACTTGCGGTATATTTTATTAGCTTTAATTTTGTCTAGAGAATTTGCTCGAACCCTTTAAAAAATAAAATATTAATATTTAATTTGGAAGCCTTAACGTTAGTTTTCGAAATATAAGGGAAAACCGAAAATACATCTTCAGATACATCTTGCTTAATTTCTATGAATGACATTTCAATATGTTTACGTAATAAAAATCTAAAATAACATTTCGTTGATTGTACAATTTATAATATTTTAATGTCTTATCCGAAATTTAAGGAATTTGTAAGATGAATTATTAGACGAAAAAAAAGCTGTATTGTAACAAGAGAAATAAATATTTAGAATCTATGCAAATGGAAATCAAACAGATAAAACAAACAAACAAACAATAGCCACTGAGCACTTAGATGCCGACAAAGCCTAAATCATAAACTTGTATGTCACTAACATTGACACCAAGATTGTAAATTTGTACAATTACTGACATAATGGGATCATTAGATAACGTTTACATTACAAGGTTAAACTTGTATGGGTTCGGATGTCGTAAACCAATCTATTGTATTTTTTTTTATTATCAAGTAATCACCTATCTACACACACACTCATAAACCCATGTACTGCAGGGTTTGTAAGCGGTGCGCACAACACAACTCCCAATTGCCAGTGGGAATCGTGTGGTGGGCGCATTTTGAATAGAATGCACCCTATTTTGAATAGAAATGAATGGGTGCCCAGAAGGAGGTTTGATGAGGTAAGTTGCGCCATCAAAGTTTTTGAGGGGCCATATTTTGACAGTTTTTTGAATTTTTGAGAGGCCGCATTTCGACGGGATTTGACTTTTGAGAATGAAAAGTTTCAAACAAAGAGGCAAGGGTAAACATAGACCGCAGCAAGTGTAATTGTATATGATCTGCGATTTTTTAAATTCTTCCTTCGCTTGCCCTGTTCTTAAGGAAAGGTGAGCAATATAATATCTTGGGAGGGGAGGGATAGGTTTTTGCTCCACCGACCTTGAGGGGATGGGTACCCCTGTAGAAATGGGTAGTTTCATACATACGGGCATTAGAGAAAATTATAGACGAAATCACCAGCGGATCCAGAATTTAATTTGGGAGAGACTTCAACCCGAAAGCTTTTATTTTTTCATATATATATATATATATATTACTTTGGAAAAAAAAAGAAAGAAACTTACTACCTATATGGAATAGTGTTTAAGTGATTCTTGAAGTCCTATTAAATGTAATTACACGAACAATAATACTTTATGAGATAATTTTTTAATATTTTTTTACTATAAAACAATGGTTACTATTTACCATTTGGGGTGGGGGGAGAGGGCTTCGGCCCGAAAGCTCTCCTCCCCCCTCCCTCATATATCCGCCTGTGGATGGAATAACATATTCATTTCAAAAAATCAATTATCATTCCATAAATCTAATCTAATAAACTTATTCGTTTTTCACCATATTCCATTTTCTTCTATGACTGTATGTAATAATGATTAATGGTTTTAGATAAAAGGTTTTGTCTTTTTTTTTGGAAAAGTTCTTAGCCTTATCCAAAACGCATTGAAAAAAAAATAGATGTTAAATATTATTAGATTATTATTATTAGACTAGCCTTTTGTAGATTTTCGGTCCCTTACAACTTACCCTTATCTTTCATAGTTTAATAAATATCGATAAAGTCGTAAAAACATGTAAATTCGATCAAATCCTAGTTCTAGTACAACTATACTTCATGTAGATTTACCGATTCTTTCCCCATTTGAACAAAGAAGTAAGGAAAAACATTTATAAAATATTTTTTTTAATATAAAAATAATTGATAATGGTTCTGATCTTTTAAAAAAAAACTTATTGTACACATTTTCTTATCATTTAAACTTTTTTTTAGCGTGCAGTTCTGGGCTTTGGCATAGGAGATCTATTGTGCGAATCTGGCTTCGGTCAGATATTGTTAACGTTTCATTGAAAATGATTTTATGGTTTAAAAGAACCATCTTAAAAGTTTGGGTCGGCAATGATGCATTTTTAAAATTTTTGTTGTTGTTTTGGATGACTGAAACATGTGAGTGATTTGAGTAAGATCTCTATAACATAATTTTGATTTACTACTATGTTTGCTCTGTTTAGACAAGAACTATAGACAATTGCCAAGAACAGTCTGATTCGACTTATAAATTTGTTATAAATATTTCTAATAAATTTTGAATGATTCTCTGTTTCACAAAAACAGTCTCAGTAAAAATTCTTTTCAGATGGAAAGGCAGCCAGGCCCCTCGGAATCCGCCATCTTCAGGCCTTCATCCTGTTCCTCTGCATGGCTGTCAGTTATTTGATGAGGGTTAACATCAGCACAGCAATTGTAATGATGACGGCAGTCGACACGCCTTCCGATCAACCGGTGAGTAGATCTACATCCATCTCGAATTACAACCGTAAACACTAGTACGAATTACAATCGTGCTAATCTAATAGAATAGTTGACGGCTGTTGTTTTTTAAGGTTAATCGTTTGATTTACATGAGTGCGCCGGAGGAAACTCCAGAACTTTACGAGTTTTAATATATTCGTAAAAATAATCTTAAAATACACAAATTTATCAGATTTTCCGTTATTCTAAGTCCAAGAGGAATGGCTCTGCTGTAAGTCTCCAGCGTATAAAGATCACTCTCTCGCGAAGCAGTGCATGTACGACCAGACACATACACATGCTTTGGAAGACTTGGAAGACCCTTAAAATGAAAGGAGATAATCCACTAGGATAAAATGGGAAATGGATCAGTGACGATCCACTTCTGGAGTATATTGTATGACAAAATGCTTCCCTACAGTTTGATCTTTAATACACATGACTATTGGATTTCATAGCTCCGCTCTGGCAAAGGAGTTTTTCGAGCCTAATTTGGCGAGGATGTTGATCCCCAATACACCACTTCCTATGTTTCGGAGACTGTTAAACGTATGTTTAATTTATACTGCATTCGAGGCGTTTAGACCCAAAACTATGAGAACTGTTGTTCTTACCGATGAAGGGTTTCTTCAGTTAGTGAGTCAGTTGAAATTACATGGGCTTAAAAAAATTATTTATGATTAGAAGATAGCAGAAGATCCTGCTTTGTACAATCTTTGAACCCAAAGAAAAAAAAGAATAGCTCCACTAATGATACATTTTTTGGTTACGTGCTGCATGGAAAACAACTCTTCAGAACAATTTCTATCCTTTTCATGTAAATTAGGCGACTGGAGATGTTGAAATGTAGTCGAAAAATATATATCTGCCAGACATCTACGAAATCCGTATGATCTTGAGATTATAAAACGGATATAAGTGTGGGAGGTAGTTAAATTTTCGAATATCAAACGCATACAATCCTTCCAGTCCAAAGCATTTCGGAAAATAGTTGACGCTCCATATTATGTCACAAACAAGGCCCTACACCATGGCCTTAACACCCCATATGTTCTTGATATCATCCTATCATGATTTACAAAATTTTACCAGAACCTTATTCACCATCCCAATCCTCTATCTCAATCCCTATCTAGCTTCAACCATCCCTATATTCCTCCCAGGAGGGTAAAGCGGCAGTGGCTTCGATATCTTTTTAAAATATGTTATTCGAGTCCTGGCAATGGTCGACTTCTCCACTCAATGCCTGAATGTTTGTGTCTTAAGTGTCCACCACCAGTTTCGACTGGCTTCCTGTGTCCAGTGACGCGGCTGGAAGAGAAGTGCTGGAGCCTTCTAGAGCCTGGCTTTGACTTCCACACGTGAAAAACAAATTCTGGTTCGGAGTCTCTTTGGCAAATGTAAATATTGTACATAGGTGTGAGTGAGTTTTAGAAGAATTTTATTTATTTATTTTTTTTGTTCGTAACTATTATCTATTCATATATATCCTGGATTTGTGAAGTCATGTATATTGTTTTCTTATTTTTATCCGTATACTTCCGTATACCTCAGTGCCGGCCTTAGACATTCGGCGCCCCGGGCAATGATGTCATATCTCCTCGTTAAAAAAATTAATTTATTTCTTAAGCTGTTTTATGTTATGTAATATTTGAATTTTATTGCATTCGACAAGTTTTATAATCCAGTTGCTTTAATGGTGGGCTAAAATTAATAAGTTTTGTACCTTTTTTTAAATTTCTTACAAGTGGCGAGCGCCCCCAAAGATCGGCTGCGCCCCCGGTGGGCAATTGCCCCACTGCCTTTGCTTAAATAAGAACCCAAGCTAAATTCTGTAAGAGGCGAAAATAGTTCTGAATGTTTGGGTAACGCGAATGAATTTTATCCTGCCTTATCTATAATCAATTCTCTGTAAAATTTATATTTATCTGAATGAACAGATTAAAATAAATTTATAAAAAATAATTAATATTTTCAGGTTTTCGACTGGAGCATGGTCCAGCAGTCGACTATCTTGAGCTCTTTCCAAATCGGCTATCTCATCATGAACCTGGGGGCCTCTGTTCTTGTTACTAGATTCCAGAACAAGTTGTTACTTTTCATCTGTATTGCTGGATCCTCGGTGATCACACTGGCCACTCCAGTGTTGGTAGAAGCTGGAGGATTTTACGTACTACTCTTCGTGAGGATTTTTCTTGGCCTCCTACAGGCAAGTAACAAGTAACCTGATTCCTTATTTGTGTTCCTGAAATACACATCACCGACATTTTGTAACTTATAGAAAATATTACACAGAAAATATTACGTTATTCAATTTGAAAATAGTGAATAAAACTAATATTTTTCAGGGACCCCTAATGGCGGTGGCCATGGGACAGCTGTCGAGGTGGATCCCTCCAAATGAGAGGAGCAGATGTGGCAGTTTAGTTCTAGGCGGTATGAATTATTCATTAACCAAAAAAAAATTAAGCTCCTTACACATAAGTCATATAAAGTCAAAATCGTCCCAAATTTAGGTAATCACTGCATCTTCATTGTTCAGCAGATTTAGAAAGATTATTCTATCCGAGAACCAGATGCGTGGACTTTAATAAAATTTTTATTTATTATTGTCAATAATGAATATTTTTAATTTACAAAGACATATTTTTAAAAATTCCCCTCTACTTAAAATATGTTGTTTTACGTTTCAACATAGGCAGAACTCAAAAATTAAATTTAAGTGAAAAAGTAATTATTTTTCAACTATCCTACTCTCCGATATTTAAAATCGACTAAATACAATAGATATTTTATTTTAAAGAAACTTGGTTTTAATAAGTTCTATCTATATTTAATAATTTTAAGACAAGTTCGTACGTGTATTTATTAAAAATTTTGTCGTTGTTTATGATAAAGCTGTATCTATAATAAAAAATTAAATTTCTGTATAAAGTAACGCTCGTCATATATAACAACATGGAAATAGAATAGATCAGTTGCCTTTTGGATAATCTTCCCTTAATTGTTTTTCGTTGGATCTGATCTGCCCCCACCACTCGCCGTAACTTGGGAAATTCAAACCATTTTTGGCACAAACAGTCTTCTTCAACTATTTGTTAATCTCTGAAGCAATATACAAAAAAAAAAAAAAACCTTCAATCAGTCACAAACTATTTATGCATGATTTTCGAACTACATTGTTCGAAAAAACCAAACCCAAAGGGAGTTTTTGGAGAGTATATTAAGTTTTTAAAAATAAAATATAAGCATAATTGTAATCCAATGTTCAATAGAATAGATTCAATTCGCTAGCGGTAAATTATTTGATCTTATCACTCTTTATAACGTTAATTTCAATGAATAATGAATTAGCGGTCATCAAACAAATAATAAACGGAAAGCGAGATAAGCCACCGACGGAAAGCTGAGCTGTTTAAACATTAAATGTTTACCCATTGCAATCTTTGCTGTTTCTAAACATTCCAAGGCATAAATTAGTCTGTATCTTGCGTCCCTCCGGATAATTAAATATTTTATACGCTGAGATTTCAATGTTTTGACTGAAACCGTAAAAATTATTACTAGACGTAAATCACCAACAGAAAATTTGATTGTGATGTCTTAGTGTGCTACCAAGGCATTTCTTTAGAATTCTGGTTTTGAATCCAGCCTTAGCTGGTGAACTTTATTTCGTTGCGGGCCATTTAATAATTCTCGATCCTCTCACTCCAGTTGAAATGGGTTTGGATAAATGCACCAGTACATGATTAAGACAATTTCATTGAACTGTTATGTGTAAAAACTTAATTGATGTTATAATATTTTTCATGGATTCATCTTATAGAACATTTTCTCACCATAGCAAGACATATTTCAAATCCATGAAACATTTATCTAAATTAAAAAAAATATATATAATTAAGAGAATAGTTTTGTTGTTCCAGTAGCTGACATTGTTTGATTTAAAATGTTTCTATAGCTCACAGAGATGATGAAAAAGATGTAAGTAAGTGAAATTTCATATTCTTCCTTTTAAGATTAACAAAAATTACCTTTAATGTATTATAAAATTAACTTCTTGCGTTTTCCAACTTAAATTTGTCCATAAATGCTGGTAACTGTCAAGAACCTCTTTTTGGCAATAGGAAAATCTATTTTTGCTAGATATTCAATCCAAATTATTAGTAAATTTTTTTAAGGAGACTGTAGTAGAGTGAATGGTCCCATTTTAAGACCCGTTATATTGAGTATATTCCTTTGAATTTATGAGAATACGGGCCTATCAACTACTGCTAAAAGTCCCCATTATAAGGCTCTACTAGCTAACACCCATTAAATATCCAATTCCTTCATCAAGATAAGTTGATAAAACATAATTTAAAAAGACTCCAAAAAAAAAAATCAAACAAAATTTTAGGGATAAATCTGATCAGTTAAACAGAAATAGGCAAACGTAATGTATGGTGGTCTTACTGACAGATGCTTTTTCCTGGGACACTAAGTAGACCGTGAGAGAGTTCCTAATTTGCCACTCATTATTTTGGTAGCTATTTCCAGAAAGACTAAATTAAAGCAGACAAGTATATTAAGATAAAATATAGAAACAAAACATATATGAAATGGAGGTCTAGGAGGTCCTGAAATTTTATTATTCCCGTTTTTATAGGGGGAAGTCAGGTGTTGGTACACTGTCACCTATTGGTGCTTTTACCATAGTGGTCGCCCTTTCTTCCCTTGTTGCTGTACAAAGGAAAATTGGAACCTGCAAACGAATAATGTAAGAATTGTTGGTGCACAACAAGCACAAACAATTGTAAACGTTCGCGAAACGAATTCAAATTGCAGTCCCCTTACCCCTCCTTTATAATTATTTGTCGCCTTCTCTTGAAGAAGGTAACACATAATATTTATTCGTTACTACAGGAAACATGTTATGTTACTAGAAACACTAAAATCAATAAAAAATTATTGATTTTATTGACATCAGTGTATTGAGTTTACCGACGTTCCGACCCAAACTCAATAAACAAATTTTTGATTGCATACCCTGACCATTTTTCATCCTTATAATTTCAATAGTCAACTATATACCCATCTTTATATTCTTTTTATACATTTTAATTCTTTGCTTCTTAAGCATTTTAAAGCGTAAAACTTCAAATTTTGAGTTAGAGGAGATTAGAAAGATTAATTTTTTTTAATAATAAACTAAAATAATGGATATAATCCTAAGAGAATACTTGACCTATTGTCGTTGTATTTCTCAAATTTAGACTTAAATGAATAGTAAATTTGTTAGTGGACTTCTCTATGATCAGTAGTGCTGGATTTATCTATAAACAGCACATTTGGGATCCAGGGCAGATTTATATCTTGTCTGTTTAATGGAAATATATGTAATTATTTTTTAATAAAGTTATTCAATAATAAATAAAACCTCTGTTATAAGAACCCTTTGATGAGCGGGAATTTTCACCCCTCTTTCCTCTTAGATACAGCATTGCATTTAATAAATAAGGTATAGTTAATAGATTATATTTTCATAAATCTATACATATCAGATCATAATTTTCAGATTTTATTTCTTCATTATCCCGATGTGAATTGAAAAAGCATATCCCGATATTCCTGATTAATTTATCTGTAATTCATGAAAATCAACAGGTATTAATTTTGGAAATATGATCTCATTTGGAATCTCTGGATGGATTGGTGCCAACTATGGCTGGCCCAGCATCTTTTACTTCTCTGGCTGCACTGGTGTTGCCTGGTCTGTACTCTGGGCTGTGGTAGCTGCTGACAACCCGAAATCCTGCTGGCTGACTAGTGAAGAGGAAAAAGCATACATCGAGGAAGAACTCATACTAACATCTGAAATAACAGTAGGTACCTCCACCTCATATCTTATCCTATTAACTTTTTTGAAACAGTCAAGCATCAATCCCCAAATGCAAAAAAAAAAAAAAAAAAAAAAATTATATATATATATATATATATATATATATATATATATATATATATATATATATATATACATATATGGAGTTCAAATTTTAGTTCTTTACAAAGAAAACTAAGGTGGTTTAAGTTATATTAGGCTGGTTCCTCTGGATCCAGTTACCTCAATTGGATGTTTGAGTTTTCCCTTTTTTGAAAATGTTGTTGGTAAGTGTATCAGACTTGCCAAACAGCAAAAAGCATAGGAGTGATAATTAGCATATTAGTAGATAAAATCCCTGGCCACTTTCTTCTCCCAGGTCTCTGTAACTCCGAAGCTACTAACCTAATTGTTTTAATTTTTTTTTCTTCCAGAAAGACAAGAAAATACCTTGGAGAGGACTAATTAGCAATAAGGCATGCTGGGCTCTGCTGTTGGTGACAGTGGGACACAACTGGGGTAATTGGACGCTGCTCAATGAAATGCCATCCTATTTCGATTCCATCTTACATCTTAACAGTACTGCTGTGAGTATTTGTGGAGTTTAAAAAAAATTATAATAGAATCAGATTCTAAAGTATTTAGGATTCAACTAAGTTCCAAAAGATATGATGGCCACTCTCAAACGAACTCAATAATATATTTTTAAAATCCAAAATGGATGATCACTGGGTTTTCAGCTAGCTTAATTAAAATTATCAAAAGTGTATTTATTCTTTAGAGTGCACATTCATTTTTAAACAATTGCAAATATTAGAGTATAAAATGAATGTAATTCACATTACTTACTCATGTTTTAGATCAGAAAATTACTGGTCTATTCAGTACTTGCCAATTCATCGGATTATTTATGAAACAAAAAGCCCTTTGTTTATATTCCAACAAAGAATTAAATTATTTATTCTTATATTATGTATTTCAACCTCACACTTCTAAAAAATATATTGGAAATATAAGTATATGTTTTGGTTCCCTCAAAATTAAGTTTTAGAATTCTGTTTGTTTGTTTTTTTTAATAAAGCTTATTTATTATTATCAGTACAAATATATATTAATATTTTTTGTTTGGCACACAAGTTTGGGTTGATGTGTCGGTGTTTGCAATAAATAAGTCCCGGTTGTTTATTCCATGATACCTCTTTAATACTTCGATTTTTGTTTTATATATTTGTGAATGTATAAAATTTTATATGATAGTTTTAATGTTTGTTTAGAGTGGATTGATAACAGCCCTTCCTCATGGCTGCCTTTGGCTATTTTCCTTCTTTTCGTCCTTTACTTCTGACATGCTCATCAAGAGAAGGATTCTATCAGTAGGGGCATGTAGGAAACTGTGCAACAGTATTGGTAAGATAAATAGTTAATAACATTTCTTGAATTGTGTTTCTACATATCCATGCATTTAACATTGGATACATTATAAATTCACATAATAAGGCTAATAACTTCATGAATCCTTACTGACAGAACTCTACTAACAAACATGCTTGTTGGAACATGGATATTCTTTGATATTACATCTCTGACTCTGAAAAATGTTTAAATATAAATGGTAATAGTTACAGATATGAGTATATACTAGTCACACTGAATTCTCACATCTCAGTCAACCAATAATGAACTCAAATAAAACTTTACAACTTTTATTTATATGTGAAGCCCAATCTTCAGTAGTAGCACAGCATTGCTGTGATTAAAGCAATGTTGAACTTATAGAAGTTTAAGGAAAAAAGTATGGATTTTTATAGATACAAGGTTTTATTTAAAAATTTTTAACATATATACTCATAAAAATCTGAGATTATGAAGCATTTTAATTATAACTATTAATTATTATATGATATTATTAATTATTATATGGCACAGGGGTTAAGATGGGTGGGGCGCGTAGCTTGTATTAATCCATCTGGGAGCCTCTATGTAACAATGAATGTAACAATGAAAGGCAAAAAAACACGTGGAAGGCCAAAAAGTAGATGGATAGATAGAATCAACAAATATGTAACAGAGCTGCGTGCAGATAAATGGAATGAAATAGCTCAAGACAGGCAGAGAAGAAGCAGGCTTGTTAAGGCAGCAAAAGATCTACATGGTCTGTGATATTTTGTCATGATATAAATGTGCTCTTCTAACTATTATTTTGGTTAATTATGTTGATTAATCAGTAATCATAATTATGAATATTTCTTATACTAAGTGTCTGCTAAAACGAATAAACCAAAATTCTAAAATTTTGTAAAAACACAAAAACCTTTAAAAAGGTTTGCAATTGTCAATTTGTAAAAACACAAAAACCTTTAAAAAGGTTTGCAATTGATTGGTTATCCATTTTTCTTAATAGACACCTCATATATTACTTTTATATATATAAATAATATGTTATCCTACATCTAATTTTATATTTTTCCTTAATCATTGATGAAATGTATCAAAGGACATTGGGGAGCAGCAGTAGCTCTTTTGATTCTCAGCTATACAACAGACCAGACGACTGTCTTTGTCATTTACACGATTGGCGTAACACTACTTGGTTTTGTCTACATTGGTTATAATATCAACCACCTTGATATTGTTCCTTCTAATGCTGGTTTCTTCATGGGAATCACCAATGGTCTAGCAACCATTACATCTTTCGCAGGAACTGAATTTGCTGGAATTATAATCACCGACCCTGTAAGTATCATTACGTGAAACATGATTAAATTATAAACTGAATTATGTGCTTTTTATGTGTCTGTCTTGCAGGAAAATCAATACCAATGGCAAATTGTGTTTGGTGTTTCTGCTGGAATTTTCTTCCTGTCAAACTTGATTTTCATCACATTTGGAAGTGGTGAAGTACAGCCTATTGAAGTTGAAAAATCAAACAAGGAATCTAAATCTAATTCAGAGACACCTACTTTCCCTATAGGCACCATCATTGATGTTAAGGATCAGTAACCTCCTTCTTTGACTAATATTCAACTTTTTTTTATTTTGTACATATTTAATTTATTCGTTATTTTCAAATAAATAAATCAATGTTTTTAAAGTTTTTTTTTAAGAATGGTTTTAAATTATAGTCTTCACCTGTAATGTATTTGTTAATGCATGATGTTTATGTAGATCATACCTCTAGTAAACTGTTTATAAAATTAAATCTAAAAAGAATATACTTCTAATGTAACGATTTTCATATATCTGTGGATTAATTATGATATATCTGGTTTAGTACCAAAGATCTGGAGTGGATATAACAATAATCCACGAGAAACTTTGGAATAAATATTTGTGTAATAACTGATACATTTACTGGAACTCAATTGCTCAACATCAACGTAAAAATCTTTTTGTTCGTCTGCCACAAGCAATAATATATTGGTTTGAAAATTGAAGAATGTTTGATGAATATTGCATCAAATCTTAAAAATTTATAAATTTATGAAGTTTGTTTTAAAGTTCATAATTGAGGAAAATTGAAGAAGGGTTTCAAAACCTGAAGAAGCACCATGTTATTAAAAAAGAGATCTTTAACATTGCTTACTTTAAGAAAAAGATCTTATTTCCCAAAATATAAAATATAAATTCTATCATTTGAAACAATCTCTTAGGTAATAATTGGATGCCTTTTCCAAATTGAAATGAAGCAAAACTTGAAAGCATTTGCCCACTATTGTGAAGTTTACAACAAACATTACTTAATTTTGTATAAACTGAATTTAAATTTGAAAACTAATTCTAAGGAAATGAAAACGATGTTATAAAACTAAGAGATGTTAATCATTGACATAATAATTTTATATTCAATTTTTGCACTCATTTGCAAATCAAATCATTTTACGCAAAAATAAAAACTGTCACGGTCATGGAAGTAATTAATACCTCATTAATATTAAAATGTTTAAAAATATATTTTGGTATTTCAGAAGTTTTCACATTTAATATGTTGCTTTGGTTTCTTTAATATTTCAGGTCATTTATTCTGTTGTAGTGTTTAGTTCGACTTATTGTAGTGTTACATTGATTTTTTTTTTCCAAAATTTTTAAATTTTATTGTGATTAATTTTTTATCTATAATTTAAATTATTTTTTTATTTTTAAATTAAAATTTATTAAATTTAATTTGAACGCAGTTCATTATTATTCAATTGAAAACGATGTATATAGATCTTATTTGGTACGTGTTTAAAACTGCTTTATAAATTAAAAGCTTCAGCCATCTCTAATATAAGTTCTGGAAACATCACTTATACATTGTTGGCTGTTTTTTAAAAATAAACAAAAAAAAAATACATCTTGTTCAATGAAAGATAATAAAGTAATTGGTTTGCATATTCAGACACGTCACATAAAGATCGTGGTAGTGTTATTCATATTAATCTTTCAACTGCAAAGAAAAGGTAAAAAGATGTTGCTTATCATCAAAACGTCTACGTTATTTGTTTTTAGCATATAGTCAATTAAGCTCGCATCTTAACAATTACGGACGATTCATACGCATTTCACTTGTCCCAGACAGTCAAAACAAACAGCCAATAGAAGAGGTAATCTTTATGGTAGGTAATAATGGCGGTCAATAAAAGAACCAATGATAAGTGAGATCTGGCTGCTAAGCATTCAGAGGTCAACGGATCATGAAGAAAGTTATGAAAAGTAAGTCTGCTAAATTTTATTATTTACTTCCAAATATTTCTAAGCAATGATGGTGAGCAGTTTTATTTATGATTGAGGTAATCATTTTTAGATACATATTAATCGTTATAATTATGAAATAGTATTCTGAATTTTTGATTTGGCTACAGTACTGTTAAGATTTAGTGACAGAATGTATAGAACGACCATTTATAACTGAAAAGAAAAGGCAATTAAGTATTGAATTCATTTAAAATCATTCTAATTTTGTTATTTAAATAGACTTTGGGTTGTATAGAAAAAATGCATGATTTAATGTTTTCTTTACATTAAAACAATATATTTTGGTATATTTGCTAATATGCCTATGCATAAAGCCACAAAAATCACATCAATCAATTACAACTTGTTTAGGGGATTATTCTTATATATATATATATATATATATATATATATATATTAATCCTCTTCCAAAGAAAAATGTTTATTATTTCATGTAGCATTTAAAATTGGAAACAAACATTTAGTCCTTATAAACAAGTCAAACTATGATTTTCGTTTTACGAGTTTAAACTCGGACGGAACATTTCGAACTCGAAAAAGTTCGAATGGCCAGAAACAATGAAATCTATGGCAATGGCAGTGTTAATATTTGCACTGTTCAATCGTAGTTTAAATTTTTTTTAAAGGAACTCTTCAACATTGAACACTAGGGGATCCAGGATTTAATTTTGGGAGTGGCTTCAGCCCGAAAGCTTTTTTTTTCACAAAAATGACAATAATTACTTTGAAAAAAAAGAAAGAAACTAACTATCTATATGAAATGGTGTTTAAGTGATTCCTTAAGTACTATTGAATGTAATTACACGAACTTTTAATAATACTTTTAGAAGTAATTATTAAATACTTATTTCATAAGACGTGGTTATATTTTACCATTTTGAGGAGCTTCAGCCAGAAAGCTCCGCCCCCCTCCCCGTAGATCCGCCCGTGGCATTGAATGCAAAGAGGATTCCGAAAGAACTTCGTCTCTTGATGACGATATTCTGCGAGCTTTCGTATTGTTCGAAGAAAATCCCAGTACTGTTCGAGAATCTACTGAAAAACTAAAAAATATATCTATTTTGATCAATAAAAATAGATTCGTATAATTTGTTTCACAAAACCATAAACTGCATTCATTTCCGGACAACTCAATGGTTTGGTTTTTTGTAGTCAGAACTATATGTGTTAATTAATTTTAGCAACAAAAAATTGACTAATCCTAACAATTTTTAAATTGAGTATTTTATTTTAGAAATTTGCGTGTGACTGAAGTTGGAGTTACAGAAGCGTCTTTCAGAAGTATTTAAATTTATCTTTCATTTATTTTTCCCATGTTCGTCTTCTTGATAACTTCAATTAATAAAACAATCAGAAATATGTTCTAAATCAAAATTTATGATGGAATAAATTTAGAAGAACAATTGATTTAAAATTTGCATTCCATTTCTCAATTATGCAATATTAAAACTCGTCATTTTTAGTTTGTTTCTAAATAAAAACGAGAGTAATGACGTCCTCAATAACGAAACTTTTTTTTTAGTAGTATTAGGAAATCTCATTTTCTATATTCATTAATTTCGGTTTCATTTTCCTTTTGTTTAATTTTCTTTTGAGTTCCTTTTTTTTTTTTTTCAAATCTTTTATATTACAGTTTCTACTTAATTGCATTCAGTCGGAGTCTCGGGCGGATCTATGGGGGAGCTTTCGGGATGAGCTTCATCCCGAAAGCTCCCCCGTAGATAAAAGAATTTTATAATTAACTAAAGGAGAGACAGAGCTTGTTAGCTAAAATAATAATAAAAGCTTGTTGTTATAAATAATAATGCTCATAGAAGTAATAAAAATTGGATAAATATTAATCACGCATTTTCGTGATTATCTAACTATAGGAAAAAAGAAAATTTTTTCCAAGGGAGAAAAAAAAATTATTAAAAAAATGAATAAATATAAACAACGGATTTTCGTGATTATTTAGCTGTAGAAAAAAAATAAACGCATTCCAAAAAAATAATTGAAAACAAATTTACGGAAATAAAAATAATACTATAGATCGTAGACCTTATTATTATTGGGGCTGCATTAAGGTTAGGCAGTGAAAATGGAGAACGCAATATTGTTTTATATTTCCTTGTTGTTATTTTTATTTATAAGATAATATACATCCATACGCATATTTTCATCGTGATTCTATTTATTTTCAAAGTTTTGTTACCTGAATAATTAAATATTAGTTAATTCTAGCCACTAGCGGATCCAGAATTTAGTTTTAAGGGAGGCTTCTGCCCGAAAGATTTTTTTTGTAAATATGTAACGATAATTACTTATGAAGAATAAGAAAGAAACTAACTGCCTGTATGAAATAGAGTTTAAGTGGTTCTTTAAGTACTATTAAATGTAATCACACGAACTTTTAATAATAATTTTAGCAGTAATTATTAAAAACTTATTTCATAAGACATGGCTATATTTTACCATTTTGGGGAGCTTCAGCCCGAAATGAATATGGAGGCCGCAGGTTCTCCTCTCGTGCTATCATGGATGTATGGGTGAGGGCAGAGGGCTCTACTCTTCCCCCAAATAATTTGAAAGAAAATAAAACATAATATAACAAAAGGTTTGCCAAAAATTCGAAGAAATTAATTTTTTTTGTTCCATGTATTTATTGTATTTCATATAAAATGTACAACTACTCCTTCAAGGAACAGAGGTATTCTTCCAATGCACGGGCGGATCTACGGGGGGGGAGGGGCTTTCGGGCTGAAGCCCCCCCCCCAAAATGGGAAAATATAACCATGTTTTATCGAAAAAAATATTTAAAAAGTATCTCTTAAAGTATTATTGTTCGTGTAATTACATTTAAAAGGGCTTTAGGAATCACTTAAACACCATTTCATATAGGTAGTTAGTTTCTTTCTTTTTTTTGCAAAGTAATTATCGTTATTTTTTTGAAAAAAAAGCTTTCTGGCTGAAGCCTCCTCTCCCCCAAAATTAAATCCTGGATCCGCTAGTGTTCCAATGGATACCTAGTCACTTTGCTCTTCATGCCAACGAAATGGCTGATAAACTCGCCAAGAATGGCTCCACATTGAACCAGCCAGAAAATGGAATATCATATCATAGAGCCAAAAAATAAATAAGTGAATTTCTACGACTGGAATTCGTAAAGAGCAGTATTGTGGAAAAGCAATGGAAAAAAATGTTCAATAAAGCAGATCGAGTTACCATGAACTTGTCGAAAAAGGAAGCTGGGCAGAGTTCCGGATGATAACCATGTATTCCAAATGGGAATGATGCTGGGCTGC